CCCCTGCCCCCTGGGCCCCAGCCCACAACCCAGACACCACCCCTGCCCCCTGGGCCCCAGCCCCGCCCCCACCCCCCAGGCCCCGCCCTTACGATGGGCCCGCGGATGCCTTCCTGCACTGTCTGCGTGTGGTCGTGCTGCTGCTTGAGCTCCTCGATCTGCTGCAGGGTGAAGAAGGGGCGGCGGCGGCGGGGCGGCTCCTCGGGGTGCAACCTGCACCACTCCTCGAAGGTCTCGGGGTGCCGGCACTGCACGTGGAGGCGCAGGTTCTTCTTGTGCTTCGTCATGAAGTGGCAGAAGTCGCAGGAGAACGGCTTCTCTCCTGGTGGGGGGGGTAAAGGGCAAAGAAATGAGCCTCGTACACAAACGTCCTTCGTCGGGTCCAGTCAGGATTCAACCTATGCCAGCAGACGGCACGCCACAAACCTGGCACCTGAGGCCGGGCTCCCCTTTAGAGAGCCAAAGGCCTTTGGCTCTGTAAAGCCAGTTTGCACAGTGGGATCAACATTTCCAGTGAATCTCAGCTGCACTTTTATGTGCACAAGCTGAATCTGTCGTTCGTCATCTTGCGTTTCTTGCGCCGCTGCGATCTGACAAGGAAAAAACGAACCCGAGGCTGGCGATAGTGGCACGGTCTGAGCTGGATGCAAGCTGCTCTTTGCTTTCCGAAAAGCCTTCAGCGGCAGCACTGCAGGACAGAAAGGCACGGCTGTTCATCAGAGCAGAGCCAGGGCCACTCTCTCCTCACCGGTGTGTTTGATGGCCATGTGCGACACCAGGAAGTCCTCCTTGGTGGTGGAGTACTTGCAGTAGTCGCACTTGAAGGGCTTGTCGCTGGTGTGGGACAGCTGGTGGTTGAGCAGAAGCTTCTTGTTGTCACACGTGTACTCACAGAACTCGCACTTGAACCTGACAAGGGAGAGGTGGAATTTTAAATTTGCATACATAAGACAGCTTGTCTGTATCGCAAAACCACATGTAACACCAAAGAACAGTAAAATACATAATTGCAATAAACTACTACAGAGCGCTATTCTGCTCCTTATTCTAATAAGAGTAGAAATGAAAGGTACGGGTATTATCAGAAATAGCTTGCTCTGACCTGTTCCCATAGCTCTGGATGTGTGTGAGGAGATGCATTTTGAAGGTGTAGCGTTTCTTAAATGACTTCCCACACTGCAGGGCCAAAACAAAAGACACAATGTGTGAGACAGGTTACAGAAGCACGTTTTGCAAACCAGAGCAAGCCCATCTAGTCCATTTGCCTCCTGGTGGCTGCTTAAACTGAGTGTCTCAGCAAGCTGTTTCTTGACATCTTTCATAGCACGGCTGCACAGCTTGTTCCAGACTCCCACAATCCTTTGTGTTGCTCCCCTGCTTCTCGGCATTTAAAAATTCTTTCGGATTCTGACCAGGCTACCCCCGCGTAGGGCCACTGTCTCCTGTGACGTACTGTAGCAACAGGCAGAATTCAGAGCAGTGAGGCGCAGTGAAATCATGGCCAAAGCAAGGTAAGGTGTGGAAAGGTATGGTAAATCAGCGTACACACTGTGGAAAACATGGTGAAGGCAAGGCATGGTGTGGTTTAGGGATGGAAGAACTGGGAAACACGGGACTGCTGCGATGCTGGTAACACTGTACAGATTCGGGCTGTATTAATGAGGCAACTCAGCCGTCACTGGAGCAGAAAAATAATCACAAACCGTGAGGCACATCCTCTGTTAAATGCGGAAGCGCTTGAGCTTTGTTTTAAGGGAGCTGCTAACAGTGCTTGCAAAAACTCGCAAAAAGGCTTTTTACTTTTTTGAACTCTTCATAGCTCCCAGTCCAGGCCGGTGCTCACCTTGTCGCACATGTGTGGCTTCTCTGTGCTGTGGGTCTTCATGTGCTGCGTCAGGCGCTTCTGCATGGGGTACACACGGTTGCACACCGGGCAAGGGTACTGGGTGATTTTGGGAATCTGGCAGAAACCAGGAGAAACGAGCATCTAAAGCCAATCTTCAAAAACCTGTTTGCTTCTCACAGGTCATGCTTAGCAACACTCCATGCTAACTTGAGAGTTAAAGACCTCTAATGTTACAACAAACTTACCAAGTCTGACTTTTTTCTCCTGAAAGAAAGAAAAGATCCACGTATTAGTCACGTACCCTCTGACATCAGCAGTCATTACCCCCAGATTCACAGTACAATTTACTACCTCAGTGCAGTTCCCCTTCTCTAATATTCAAACCATCATGTCCCCCTGATCACACTTCTGTCCACCCAGGAGGCCCTGTCCCCAGTGTCTCAGAGCACCACACCCCCCAGGGTCCCGGCTCTTACTTGTCCTTGTTGTGCACAGCGGAGTGGCGGATCACATCCTTCTTGTACACGCTGGTGTAGTCACATTCCTCACACTTGTAGGGCTTGGTTCCCACATGGTTGAACATGTGCTCCTAAAGTAAGAGGGGGCAGGTGTGAGTAGATTCACCCACTGTGGCTGATGTTTTTGGTCGAAGATTTAACATAACCTTAAGACTGATGCGGAATGTTTCTTCTCCTTTAAACTGTTTCCTTGAACAGGTTTTGGGTGATTCATCCCTCCAATGCAGTTTAATTAGCTTATTAGAAAACAATCAATCAATATTGTATTTCCCATGTGTCCCTTTGCAACAAGTCTGGCACCGAGATTTACAGAGTTGCACAACGGTTGCCAAAATAATGACAGCTGACCGTACGGGCACAAAGGAGAGGAAAACAAAAACCCCTAAACTTCTGGGGGGCCCAGTCCCGATGGCTGCAAGTGCAGTGAGTTTGTTAATCAGGGCCAATCTCTGCTATCCCGGGTCGGTCATGAAGGTCGTCTGAATGAAGTTTCGCAGGTCTTCTTCATCGAAAACCAAGAACAAGACCACGATCCAGGCAACAAGAAACAAACAGACGAGTACAAACTCAAGACTGACTGCTTGTTTCCACCAGAGAGGAGAGTACTGCAGGAGAGGACAGCCCTGCTGCGTACTTGCCTTCAGTGAGGACCAGCGCTTGCACCGGTATGCACACTGCAGGCACCTGAAGCTCTCGGGGTCGTTGCCCTCGTGGGACTCCACATGGAAGCGCAGGTCCTCCTGCGACAGAAACCGGGACCCACAGACGCGACAGTTGTGGGGCCTCAGCAGGGGCTTGTGGGATTTGTAGTAGTACCTAGCATTAGAACAGGAAAACAGTACATCACATCAGGAGTGGGAAGGAAAAAAAAAAAGACATCTGACGGGGAAACATCTCAAACCATTTAATCTAGCAGAGCAATTTTTGTTCTTAAAAAGGTGAAAACCGTTAAAAAGGTCTGTTTGAAATTTGCCGAACGAATAAGAATAAAACATTATTTTATCTAGTGTCTTCAGAAGTGGCTACGACCAGCACTTTACAGTAGGAAAAAAATCACACAATCAGAGGACAAGCAACTGCAGCAAATCACAATCACTGTATCTTACTTGCGGGTCATGTATTTCTTATATTTCTTTCGGAGAAACCGCTTAGAGGGGCGTCCCCGTTTTCTGGGGTAGAAGTCCACATCCTCCGATCCCGTGTTGGAGGACGGATCCTTGTTCTCTGAATCCGACTGGCTGACTCCGGGCTCCGCGCAGTTCTCGAGGCCAGAGGAGGGCGGCCCGGTCTCCAGCCCGGAGGAGCTGGCCTCCTCCGACGCCTTGGGGTCTGCGCTCCTATGGGCCACCTGGGCTGTCAGGGGATCGGCTGTCGTTACTGAAGGGGCAGACAAAGAGCAACCCCAGGGGGAGTCAGCAGGCTTACAGCCTTCAGCGCCCTGGCCAGCGAGCGATAAATGGAGAAAAGCAGAGGAACGCAATCTGGAACAGCCACACCAGGCGGGGCCGGGCAGGCACACCCACCCGTGCCGCTGTGCGCTCCTTCGGCGTAGGGGAACTTCCTGGGACGCGTCACCTTGCGGCGCGGCCGGTCCTGCGAGGAAGAGGAGGGGGCAGTACGGAGGAGGGCAGGCTGGCGGCCCCTGCAGTCGTCCTCGGCCGGGTTGTAGTCGCTGTCGTCTGGGGAGAGACGTCTCATCAGACGGAGAGAGAGAGAGAGGACGCGCCCTGTAACCCGCCCGTCCCGTTTCAAAGCTCCGTGTGCAGGCCACGAGCACATACGGTCAAAACGGAATGCAATCAAGTCCGACTTTGAAACTTTCGTTCATTTCGCGGCTCCTCTCATTCAGCCCTCGAAGCAGGCTTCCGAGCTCCAGCGCGAGCCGGCCTCCCGCCTCTCCCCCCCCCGTGCGCTGGCGCCAGCGGGCGAAGGCGTGCGCCGGGCCTGCACTTCACCTGCGGGGTCGTCGATGGCCCCGGCATCGACGATGTCGTCGTCCTCCTCCTCCGCGGGCTCCTCCGCCTTCACCTCGCCCTGCCGGGGGGCAGGGGAGTCACAGCGCCGCGGACGCCCGCGCCCACGCTTCTTCGGCGGCGGGGCCCCTGCGACAACACAGCCGGGGAAGATGATGGTGAACGAAGACATTAAAACATGCGTGTGTGTGTGTGTCAGCAATACTCCTTACTTTCCATACCCACTCAACTCTAGATCCCCGAAGGTTTCCGGACTTGCCTCTTCTACACCCCTATACCAGCATGGCAGGAACAACGACCTGCAAATGTGCTCCTCTGTCAGGGTCGCTCATCTTTCGACTCGCAGCGCGGACCACAGTGCCTGGCAGGAGGGTTAGAGCCAGGAGGAGGAGGACCGGCGCCTCTCTCACAGAGCCTGCACGTGCCTGACAAGTTACACCAAGACCCAAGAGGACCGTGGCGATGAGGCTCCACGAAAACATGCTCCGCTGCCTGCCGGATCCTCCTGGAAAAATAACTGACCCGGGTTTCCTAAAACGTGTCCTCTTGCCAGAATCCTTTCTTACTTGGGCGCTACCTCTGTTTGCAGAACTTACCACCTGCTATTCAGTGGGTGTGACTAAGGCATGTTAAGGTAAAAGGGCCTTTAACATTCTTCTCTGATGCAACAGAAGAAGCCCAGAAAGGGAACACTCTCATTGCGTGACGTGTCGATCTGATTCGGTTTCCAAGCTCTAGCACTGATTAAAAAAAAATTTAAAAGTAAATAATAATATGTAACAATTTTCTACAAAAAACAGGAGAGTACATCTACAGAAGATGGTCATTCTGGCTCACTCCTACTAAGTAATCAGCGCCTTGATTGCTATATCCTGCTCTAAGCAGAGGTGCTGTTTCTCAAGACGTGCTCTGCTTTCAGAGACGGTGACCCACCGGTGTGCTTGAAGTGCCTGTCTCTCATGTGGTTGATGAGGGTGTCCTTGGAGACGCTCTTGTAGGGACACATCTTGCACTTGAACTGCTGCACCACCACCACCTCCATCATCTCCTCCAGCTCTGCCAGGTCGGGGGGCCGGTCCCTGAGCCCCACCTCGGCGGGCAGCCCCCTCGCGCGCCCCCTCTCCGTCTCCCGGCTGAGGTGGAGCGCCTGGTGCGGGACCGCTTCCCGCTCGGGGTACGCCGCGCGCCGGGGCCCTTCGGGGACGTCGCCACTGCTCTCGATGTAGTGGGAGCCCTGGGGCTGGTCGGGAAGCTGCCCGGAGCACCCCACATGCTGGGACCGCTGGGCGCTGTCGACGGCTTCGGCACTGCATCCCACGAACTGAGAGCGCTGGGGCTGGTCAGGGTGATCCACGGAGTCCTCTTCTTCCTCGTACAGGGAGTGCTGGGGCCCGTCCGAGTCGGGGACAGCGCTACACTCGATATAGCAGGAGTGCTGGGGCTGGTCGCAGTCCGGGTAGTCCTGGGCGGGCTGCGGCTGATCCGAATTGTCCACGCAGCACTCGATGTACTCGGAGTGCTGGGGCTGGTCGGGGCCGTCCACGATGCACTCCACGTACGGCTGCGAGTGCTGAGGCTGCTCCGAGTGGCCCACGCCGCAGTGGTCGTACGGAGAGCGCAGGGCCTGGTCAGAGCGGTCCACGGCGCACTCCACGTACTGGGAGTGCTGCGGCCGGCCCGGGCGGTCCGAGCTGCACTCCACGTACTGCGAATGGCGCGACTGGTTGGAGTCGTCCTCCCCGCCGCCGCACTCCGCGTACCCCCGCGAGTGCCTCGACTGCTCGGGGTCACCCGCGCTGCAGTCGACGTAGCGGGAGTGCTGGGGCTGGTCGGGGGTGTCGACCGCGCACTCCATGTACTGGGAGTGGCTGGGGTCATCTGCGCTGCACTCCATGTACCGGGAGTGCCGAGTCTGGTCGGGGTGGCTCATGTGCTCCTCGTGCTCAGGGTACCCCGAGTGCCCGGGCTGGTCAGGCTGGTCTGGGTCCATCCCCTCGTGGTCAGGCAGGCTCGTCCGCCGGCCCTCCGTCAGCTCCGACTGGTCCAGACAGGTGGAAGTCGGTCGCTCCCCCAGTGCTTCAATGGTGATGCGGCTGGACAGGGCAGAGGAGGACATCTGGGACACCATGGGGGCACCTGGCGACAGGAAGGGCGTCACGCAAAAGCACTGCCGTCAAAACAGCGTCCAGTGAAAAGCAGTTGTGAGAAATGCTCACAGCTGAACTTGGGTCTCTGCTCTCCTAAGGTTATATTCCGTTTTATTATAAAACTAAACTTAAAACTTCATCATGCAAGACACTAAAGAGTGCCAGATTAAGGCAGGGCAGCCTTACAGTACATTTACATGACAGCAGTAGTGTATAAAGTTATGTCTACTGAAACATTTAATGGTACTTTGCTGGGTAACGACTGCGAGAATGGGCTATGAGCAGGGCAGGGATATACTGACCGTCGTCCGGTCTCTGCAGAATGAGATACTGGGTGGTCTCAGCACCTCCCTCCTCTGCACTGGTCACTGTGATACAGCCTGAAGCACAGAGACATGGCGATAACATCAGGAAGAACAGCAGCCCCAGCAAACAAAGTCTCCACACGCGGGCTGCATTTCTCAGTTCTTCGCTTCTTAATTGGACCCCGGGTAAGTCGACTAGTGTTGACTAGTTAAACTGCTCGTGTTCCTGCCAAAAACTTGCAATAGTAAGTTTATTCAAATGAAATAAGATACATCACGGTGCCTGCGATTACAGTGGTAGTGGTCCCAGCCGAACTGCGGGAGACTCTTTGAGCAAAGAGAGCACAGGCTAACGGAGAGGGCCCTGATGTCTGACCGCTTATGATGTCCGGTCCGATGGTGGACTCGATGATCTTGTCGATGGCGGAGCCCAGGTCGGTAGAGGTGGAGGCCGTGGAGTCGGACACGATCATGGCGCCATCGGACACCGCGCTGGAATGCACCAGGACCTGCGCCGACTCCGACACCAGGATGGACTGCGTCACCGTGGAGACGCTGGAGACCCTGGTCGACTGGGCGACGGAGGAAGAGTCCGGGAGATGGATGACAGCTCTAACATCAGTGCTGGAGCTGGTCTCTGGGATCAACTCCTTAAAAGCACAGAAACACAGGAGTTACAGCTGGAAACTGGACTCTTTGCCCCAGACGCCCTGGCCAAATTTTCCATTGGCCTTTATCAGTCATCACTTTCTAATCATCCCCATCTATGAACTGGCTTCATCACTCTGCTCTCCTCCCCACTGAGAGCTGGAGAGCATCATCCATACTGGTGCATCATCCAGGCGGGTGGTATTATTTATAGTAGTTCAGGTGGAGAGCTGCGTCAGTAGGCATAGTCTGCAAAGGAACAAGTAATAGGTTTATTCCCTGCTGAGAAGAGGAGAGAGAAAACGCAACGTTTCGGCTGTGGAGCCTTGTTCGGGTGTGAGGAAACCGTTACGGAAGAACTTAAAAAGCTCACACCTGAAGAAGACTTCTTCTCTTCTCAGCATGGAATAAACCTATTACTTATTATTCTTGCAGCAGAATCTGCCAGCATCATGCACGAGGCGCGGACACGAGACCGCTGTTCCTGACAGCAGCAGCTCAAGGGGAAGGGTGTGGGGTGTTCTGGCGCACTATGGCTGCCGTCGCATCATCCAGGTGGGGCTGCACACTGGTGGTATTGGAGGGGAGACCCCATTACCTGTAAAGCGCTATGTGTGGAGTGTCCAAAAAAGCGCTATATAAGTCTAAGGAGCATTCTTGTTGGTATTGTTATTATTATTAAACATCCACTATCATCCCAAAATGTTATTTCATATTCCAAAACAGGCATACAGAAGACTCCTTACACTTCAAATTAGGAGGCACAGTCTTAGTTCTAATACTGGGAACACAAGGGAATTTTAGAGTTAAGGCCTGAGAGATTATGAATACAGACAGCTCAGACTGTCGTGTGAGATATCCCCCCCCCTGCCGGTGTCGAACCGGGCTCACCACCAGCCCCTCGGAGCTCTGTCCCACGTGGGAGTCGGACTCGGGTGCGAGGAGGGGCGGGGCCGCCGTGTCGCTGCTGTCGGCGGACATGGCTTCGGACGTCTCCATGCCCAGGCCGCTCTCCGAGGGCTGCTCCAGGCCTGAGGGCCCCGCGTCACTGCTGCTCTCCACCTCATTCTCCTCCGAGTCCATGCTGCCCTGCGGGGACACGCCCGGACGGGAAGAGCAGTCACCCGGAGAACGCCCTCGCCGTCTCGCACTGCCGCCCAGCCGTTCTCTCGCCGCTTCACCCCATCCGGGGGGAGCGGGAGCCCATCCCAGCAAGCAGCGGGGTGCGAGGCGGGGTACACCCTGGGGGGGGGGCGCCAGTCCATCACAGAGCAGACCGACACAAACATGCGCACGCTCACAGCAGAGACGATTCCCCAGAAGCCAATTAACCCACCAGCATGTCGGTGGACTGTGGGAGGAAACCCACATGAACACGGGGAGAACATACGAACTCCACACAGAGAGCACCCCCCCCCCCCCGGAACTGAACACCAGGCCCCAGCAATGCTCACCACTGCGACTCCCTGCCCTAACAGACAAAAAAAACACCTCACCAGTGCAAGACACTAAAAGGATCACTAAATGTTATTGAAATTTCTCTTCTCCAGTTATATCACACCTCTGGTAAGGGCATGTTCCTCGTTCCTTCATGTGATAAAGTGCAGAGCTCTGTAAAAAACGTAACTAAATACAGGTAGAAATGTCTCAAAGACCTAGTGGACCAGAAGGTGGCACTCCTCCTTCTGGACCTGTTTCCAAAGCAATGCCCCAGGATAGTGACCATTGAAGCTGCTGTGGAAGGTGCCATCTTTTACATGAGACGTTAAACTGTGGACCTAAAGATTTGTTCATTAAAGCTTTCAAGGCCACTGTCTTGTAAACTAAAAGTGTTAAACACAATGTCCCGGCTAAATTCTACTCTGGTTATGAACAATTTAGCTCCCTTACAGTTCCTTCTTAATTTGTGAAGATTATTGCAATTTAAACCCCTTAAATCCTTAAGGATAATTGATCCCCCAGCAGCTCCAGGACTGGAAAACACGAAACTTCAGTACGGCTAACCCGTGAAAGTAAAAAAGGGGAAGGTCTCTCCATTGGAGATTTTCACCACCTTGTGGGTTTAAAGAAAAAGAAACTAAACCTGACAAAAATAGCCATGAGTGTCGGAGTTACTTGTTACTGTTACTTTCTAATTGGCTCGGGAAGGTGCTCTGTTTAGGTAGGGCTACTTTATACCAGCTTTTAAAGTGATGTCAATCCACAAGGTCTCCTTATTTACATTAATAATGACAATTTAGCTGCGGTCTCCGAGACCCTAATCATGCAATGATGTCTAGCACTGGTAAAAACAAAAAGGTGTGAGCCGCCTTGCGTACAGCTATTTCGTTTAATTAATCGTACAGCTGCACAGTTGTTTAGGGCTTAAACTCGTGTGTGGGGGGAGCGGGGCTTTCTCGGGACGGTGCGTGGACCTGCGACGCGTTGTGCACCACAGGAACATGTGTCTGAGCAGAACTGAATCGATGGGAAGACTGGGCTGTGCTTCAGGGCACCGTCTCGAAGCGTCTTTCAGACCTTCACTGCCCAACGAGGGGGGGGTTAGTCGAGGACACTGCTGCAGTGGTTAAACACGACCCCCCCCCAGAGAAAGAACGCCTGGGCGGTTCGTAAGAACCCGTCTCGACGAACAACTTTTTAAAAAAAAAATATTTCAATCGCCCCAACACGTCCGCCTACGCCGCCGCCGCCGCCGCCGCCGCCGCACTCTTCATCAAATCCTCTTCCTTTCTCCCCCCCTCTTTTGAAGAAGAAGAAGAAGGGGGAAAAAAAAACCAAGCGCCCAGGCCTAGCTGCCCTCCCCACTGCCTGCTGCGCGCCGCCATGTTCCTTCCCCGCCCCCCCCCGCAGCCCGCTTTCCGCGCAGGCAGGTCCGCGAGCTCCTAACTGCAGCCTGAGGGACCCCGAGGGCCTCCTCGGCGCGGACAGACCGCCCAGCTACCTCCCCTGACGGAAAACAAACCCCCTCTTTCGCTCCGCGGCCGGAACCCCCGAATGTCTCCCTCACCCCTGCTTCGGTTCCGAGTCGCCTCCCTTCTGCCCTCGGCCCCTGAGACGCGAAACAGATCTGTTTCTGCTATAACCGCTCCGGCATTCTGCTCGGGCGCCATGTACCGCCTTCTCTGCCGAGGACGCCGGCCGGATCTTATTTATCAACTTCATTTTTTTATCTAAGGGGGAGGGGGGCCCCGGCGGGCACAGATTGGGCCACCCAGCGCTTGCTGTAGGCTCATGTAGGGCCAGCACCGTGACCGTCGGTCCGTAGGCGAGCGAACGGTCAGCGAAATAAATAAGTCTTCGCGTTTTGTAGGTTGTTTTTGTCACGAACCGTGGACTATTTCTTGCGGCGTAAGGCAACGGTACTGTGGCACGGGGGCGCGGAAGAATATGTTGTACGAGAAAGGCCATGGAGCTATAAACAGCTGGAGGATTATTATGAGTCGTGTTATTATACTAAGTTTTGTTTTGAATAGGAGTATCCGCTTTTCCATCACCTGTCTGTAGTAGTTATTTAGTATTGCTTTATTTTTAAAACGGGGAAGTGTCTACTCCCCCGGTAAGTACTTCACATTGGTGTTGTCTGAAAATGGTCCGAACTGGTTTCTGAGTTCTTTAACCTTCATGCCTTCAAATCCCCCCAAATCTGGCACTGAATTTCGCATGACTTTTCCCTCCCTAGCATTTACACACAGGTATTATGAGAAAACCTGGAAGTCCACTCGAGACCTAGCTATTGAGTTGGACACTTGCGTGAAAATCTGAAAACCAAACATGAAAGGTTTTGCCATTCCTGACACGATCTCTACACAGGTCTGCATGCTTCTGATGCCACAAATCATCAGCATGATGAGAGCTGTGCTGTAGTCTGCAGAAATCCAGGGGAACCAAGCTGGAGATGCCTCATTTACTGTGTTCTCTTCTGCAATCACATTCATCTTGTTCACGTTAGCCATTCTCGCCTAGCTGGTTACTCAAAGTAGCAATAGAAATTCATCTCAAGGTTACAATCAACATGGGGGGCATGGTGTCACAGGGGTTAACACTGCTGCCTTGCAGCACTGGGGCCCTGGGTTCAATTCCAGACCTGCTGTCTGTGTGGAGTTTGCAGGTTCTCCCTGCCTTCATGTAGGTTTCTTCTGGGTGCCCCTGTTTTTTTAAGAAAGTAAACACTGGTTGAAGTAAAGAGAGAAGAGAGAAAATGCTGGTTCCCAATTTTTGAACCTAGCTCAGCTGCTTTCTGGCCTTGGGTGATGCACATTGGTGGTGGTGGAGGGGAGACCCCATTACCTGTAAAGCGCTTTGAGTGGAGTGTCCAGAAAAGCGCTATATAAGTATAAGCAATTATTATTATTATTATTATTATTATTATTATTAATAACCCAACAGGCTCGACCCAAAGTGGTACCGGCTCAGACTCTCTTTGGGTCTCAGCTCACTTTCCAATGGTGTGGACGTGCCACTTGCACTTGATCTGAGCCCAAAGGCTGAGAAGCGGGACCTTAGACATGCTGGGAGGTTAACTGGCTTCTGGCAGAACTGGCCCTGGTGTGAGTGTGTCTCTGTGTGTGTGCCCTGTAATGGACTGGCGTCACGTCCAGGATGTTTCCTGCCTTGCGCCCCATTGCTTGCTGGGATAGGCTCCGGTTCACCCACGACCCTGACTTGGATGAAACGGTTAGAAAATGGCAGGATGGATGTAGTGTAGGACAGTGTGTCTGTGCCCACAGTGCCAGGCTGCAGTGTGGAGGGCAGGAGTTTGCAGCAGGACAGTGTGTCTGTGCCCACAGTGCCAGGGTGCAGTGTGGAGGGCAGGAGTTTGAAGCCGTGTACGTCTGTGCCTTTTTTCTTTGTAGGCAGTTCATGTTTATTCACTTGTACAGGTTTAATTTTTGAACTAATTATGTTTACATCGGCAGCACAGTGGCATGGCTGTTACTGTTGGCACTCTCACAGCTCCTGGGATAGATTTCAGCTTGGGACATTATTAATGACTTATAATAATAATGGTTTGTTTGATAAAACTGGTAAAAGAGATTTCTGAACGCCTTGCATTAATACTGATGAAAATCGTGTAATAAGTAAAGTAACAGAAAATAAATCAAGAGGTCATCAGATTAGAAATGCAGTATATTTTTATTGAACTTTTAGGAGCACTGCAATAATTACAGAGAATTCTAACTTTTCTTTAAATTAATAATTTAGATTTATGTTGCTTCATGTCTTCCAGCACCTGTTCTGGTATTACAGACATTTTTAAATAGAAAGAAAAAAAATACAGCAATCACCTTATTGTTTCATCAAAATACATCCAAAACAACAACAATAATAATACAAAAAATAACTAAATTAACACAACTCAAGACCTTTAAAATGAAAAGAACAGTTTTTTTGTTCCCGTTTGCTCCAGGCAGACGGCTCAAAGTCAATAAAATAAAAATTGATGACCGAGTCTGTTATCTTTGGAACACAAGACCAAACATTAGGAATTTAGGTATGGTTTCATAGAATATGTAAAAATGTATACATTCTTGAGCAATACCACAGGTCCTCAGAAGAATTGCAGGGTGGAAACTAAATTTTGATTTTTGAGGCCACATTATAATCACAGTCATAAATCCAAATTTGCACTCATCCCCACACACAGCACAAAAACAACATCCAGGCCAAAATGTCTCCACTTTCACAACACACTGGCTCAACTGGTAAGTGACTCACAGTACAGTAGTGTCTGAATCTGTACCTGGCTCTCTCTTGATCTTCACATGTGAAAGAGACTCTCCCCATAGCTGGGCGAGATGATCATGAACCTCAGTCGAATCATTTTGACAGCATTGTGGGTCGCAGTAAACTGAGATCTTTTAGGAATCAACACAAGGGCAGTAGCATTCGTCACCTCTCAACGTGTGAGGGACTCCTTAACAGCTGAGGGCAGTGGTGGAGGAGTCGTCTTAATTTAAATTATTACAGGTACAGGATGTAGCTCAGGTTCATCTGAAGGGTTGTTTCATTCTGGTCTATATTATGAAAATCTTTAAGGGCAGGAGGTCTCTAAAGGTGGATAGAGTGCATGAAATAATAAATTAGCCTCCCCGCAACCCGCAGGGAGCAAGTCAGGAAGTTGGGGTTTCGGGGGCGCTGGGGGCGTTGGGCTCAGACGTAGCGGCGCGAGTTATCGGGGCACTTCAGGATGTCGTATTTCACGTAGCCGACCCGGTCCACCTGCCGGCGCGAGTTCATCCTCCAGTAGAACTGCTCCCGGCAGAAATAGTAGTGTCCTGGGGCAAGGAAAAAAAACAAACCAACCGTCCTGCAGTTAGATCTGCTGCCCCGCTGCAAGCTCCTTTCGTACAGCATGTTACCCCCCCCTGCTGGCGGGATCATGTAATAACAGCAGACCGCTGGGCGACAGTCGCCCTGCTGCTGCTCAGCATTCTGCTCATTTAAGGGCGATGCCTATTGCTGCTGATCTGTCCCTGGTGAAATGCTGAGGGCTGGAGTCGACAGAGCCCTGCGTGGCGCTGAGGGAGCGAGTTTATTTCCTCCGCAGCGACTGGAAAGCCGCCGTTTCAAAGACCAGCTGACCCCGTTTTTTCAAACACAGCAGATTACCGGACATTTCATTCTTTCTTTTCTTTCTGTTCATTTTTTTTGTTGTTGTTGTTGTTGGTCCTTTTGTCGTGTTTGAAAACGGACATGTTCGTTCCTGTCCGCAATGCCTCTCTGCGCCCTGCCTTGCCTTCAATGTGATTTCACTGTACACAACGAAGGAGCTTGTACTGTACACAGCACGGCCAGAAACATTCGGAAGGGGTGACCTTTCAGCGCTCCTGAACGTCAGACAGAGTAGAGTTTTGGAAACGCGGCAGTTTCAGTCCCGCAGCGAGGCGTGGGGACTTACCGTTGTACAGGAAGACGTCGTGGGAGTCGACAGGCACGCCAGCGAAGACCAGGTCGATGAAGCGAGGGTAGCCCTTGTCGATGGTCTGGGCCTTCACGTCCAGCCTGGGGGCGAGGGCCAGGGAGTTAGACGAGCCGAGCCGCGCGTGGGCCCAGTCGGAGAGACAGCGAGAGAAACTAGCCA